TTCTAGAGCCGGCGAACTCCTCCCCTCCCCCTCGCGTTCCCACCCCCACCCCACCCCACCCCGCGATCCTAACCCGTAGGGTCCTTGCCGGCGCCGGAGAAAAAGAGGAGGTCGCCGGAGTTGGAGGAAAAGGCGTGATGCACGAATCTTGAAGCCCATCCGGTGTCCCAAAATCTGTAAGATTTGGAGATGCAAAATCTGTCGAAAGAAGGTTAGCAATTTCGTTTTTCTTCTCCAAAATAATCTACCGTGTACCCCGTGTAATGCTGTGACGGGAGTGGGTGCTTGTTTGTAGCTGTACTAGCCGGCTAGCCGCGACCGGTTCCATCGATACCTCATATACCTATCACGTGTGCCGTTTGCGCGTAGGGAGGTTTGATATAGTAGATCGGACGGCTCTCGTGCGCGGTGTGCTAGATGGTGCCTGCAATATTTTGCTCGCTCCGCGTCAAGGCCATGATGCGTACGCGTGCTTCTCACACGAAGGTCCCCACCTGTCAGCCCAGCCACCCGAGTACCCGACAGGTTCTCTGCTGCACTGCGCGCTCTGCTCGCCGCGGTCGCCGGCGGCCGACCCGCGTGAAAGCGTGGAACATATCCGAGACTTAGTTGGAGACTTGGGCCGCAAGCAGATTGGATGAGTTTGGTTGTTGCCTTAATTATTATTAATCACCCGTCTCTTAACGGGTCGGATCATATGTTTGTTAGCGAGACCGAGCAGGATACCTGAATTAATGAATTTAACAATCCACATAGCTGTACACCCTATAAAAGGCAGCAGCTAGCGAACAAGAATTTTCGTGTTTTGTGTGTTGACATGAAGATAACTACTGGTGACAGGTATATACATGTGCAGATTTTTTTTTTCATGAAGAAATACGGATAACGATCGCTAATGTGACCTTTTTTTTTCTTTTCTCTTTCTCGCTTATGTACAGGAAAGAAAAACGGAATGTTGGATTCAAGATTCCTAAGAAGAAATTTAGGTTTTGTGTTCGTGATGAGTATGGCACGAAGGCATTGGCTGAGCAAGTTATGGTTAAATCCACGTCACTGTGGCGCGAGATTGAGCTTCGTACCGAGACAAGGATGATTACAGCATTTTTTTACCATGGGTGCGGCCTTCGCACATGGTCAGCGTACAGGCAGAACATCCCTATTTTTAATAAATTGCATGCCGCATTAAACAATATACTCAGAAGGTACAAGAGTCGTCGTGTGGAAATTGGCCTATTTTATCTGCAATCAAATATGAAATGTTTTCAGTTTACAGTCCGGAGTCCTTTGGACAACAACAACGAGTTTCTGAAAAAGTTACGGAAAATTAAAGCACACGAATGCAACATGAGAGAAGATAATGCGGAGAAAACTGGAAGCCTTTCCCCTATAATTATGGGGACATTGAGATTAGTTAGCAAGAGGCATGTACTTGGCTTTATGTTTGTGATATTTTTATCTTGTGTAATAATCTTTCTATGAAAATATAAGATATCTTGAACATCGCCTAATATTAATTATTTCTTTTACAATGATCCTTCTTCATATTCTTGTTGGTTTTCTAGGCCTTGAAAACAACAATAGAACTCCAAGACCATAGCAACCTACTTTTATATTGTTGTACAATTATTCATAAAAACATGTAAAAAATATTTTGTTATGTAAACTTTATAGCAAGTTTTTTTCCTATCCTATTGGTGTATTGCTGGCCTAACAAAAAAAACATATATTTTATCCTCGCCAGTTTGTTTTATTGCGCAAGCGTTTTTTGGTAGGCTTGCGGTTTTTTTTGTCCATCCGGTTTTTTCCGTCAGTGTTTTTTCACACCGCAGTTCGGTTTTCATCCACTTGTTTTTTTATTTGCCTTTTTTTTCGCCGGGCCGGACCCTAATGTTGCCTCCACATCGATCTTTCTTCCCATGCATGCGTCGTTTCCCCCATCCAATTGATCGCAAAAATCGATTCTATACTCATCCTTCATCATTTTCTCCATGGTTTCCCCTTTCAACTCGATTTTAATTCGTCGGATTTAATCTCCATTTAACATTCGTCGATGATGGCTGGCCGTTGAGCTTTCCCGACCATTTTATCTGATCAAAATTCCTTAACCAATTTTGGGAGATCGAGAAAATTCAGCCGGACTTTATGGGTAGGATCGGCTCCGGCATCGTACGGCACAAAACCATATTCCGAAGGTTAAAAACGGTAGTCGACTGTGCGAGCTAGGCCTGTGGCTCCACTTGTCCGTGGGCCTCCGCCTTCCTCCCCACGCCGCATGCCTCCATCCACCCAACATGCACTGGTCGTCGCTCGCCGCTCGCTCTCTCTCCGCCCGCCGGCCTTTGCTTCCCTAGTCGCCTGTTGGCGAGCTCCCAAACCGCATAGGATGCCACTCCCTCCCTCCGCATGTGCGCCACCGCCGCTCCCTCTGCCCTAGCCCACGGCAACTCCCTCCTTGCCGCCTAGCCATGGAACTGAACTGGGTTGGGACTAGACAAGGTCGGGGATATGGCTGATGTGTAATAAGGGCTTTTTGTTAGTTCAGGGTAGTAGATACATTTTCTTTTGTATTCTAAATGAATCTCTAATGGTGGAGTAAATGTATGGTCAAATGGTTATTACAATTTTGAAAAGCGGGTTCATTGAGCAAACTTCAAAAATGATGGTCAGTTTAATTGTTAGGCTTCAAAATAGGGTGTTAAAGTGAAAGACAAATGCATATTCTCACCTGTCTCAAAATAACTTTATGATTCACCATCTTATTTATGTAAGAACAAACTTTATGTATAAGGGTCTATTTGGATCACATGGACTATATTTTTAGTACTGTCACATCGGATGTTATGACACTAATTAGAAGTATTAAACATAGACTAATGACAAAACCTATTCGATAACCCTTGACTAATTCGCGAGACGAATCTATTGAGCCTAATTAATCCATGATTAGACTATGTGATGCTACAATAAACATGTGCTAATTATGATATTAATTAGGCTTAAAAAAATATCACGCGAATTAGCTCTCATTTATGCAGTTAATTTTGTAATTAGTCTATGTTTAATACTCTAAATTAGCGTCCAAACATCCGATGTATGTGAAGGCGTGCAATGATTGCTTTAGGTGGTGTTTGGATCAGCCCCCCTCCATATATATATCTTTGCACATAACTTGCCCTGACGAGTGCATTTCAACCCTGTGACATCCCGGCCCAATAAGGATTAGGCCTGTGTGGCCCATGTGAGCTGTGTGCGCATGTTTAGTACCACGTCGCTAGTTTAGCACGAGTGGAACCGACTTATAAGGCCTCTTCCCTCCAACCACATCACTCCGGGGTTAACCCTTTTACACGAAGCGAGGACGAAAGTGTAAGTGGGGTGGTGTGTGTAAGTGGGCCCGCTCATCGGTTGGCTGGGCTACGCGGTTCTAGAGGGAGGGCTGTTACAAACCCAATCCTCCAAAATATCCCTAAATCAGCTAAGGTTTCGACAGTGAGTCGGTGAGGTTAGCGGAAGAAGGCCGAGAGGTAGTGGTTGTGGGGGTTAGCGGAAGAAGGCCGAGAGGTAGTGGTTGTGGGGGCCTCAGCGGCAGGAGGCAACGCAGTGCAGCGGGGTTAGCGATGGCACAGTGCGGTCAGATTAGCGGCGGGAGGCCCATGGATTCTCCAAGCTCGTCCTCGTCTTGAAGTCACCGGAAGAAGGTGTTGTTGCTCAAGTGCTCGTTGTGCGGGAGATGACATTTTCTTTTTTTGGGGAAGAACATTTTAAGTATTTTTTTTTTGGGATTCTGGTGTCAGTATATAGTTACAAAGAGATATATGCGACATGTTGTGATGTGGAGGGGGCTAAGAGCAAAAGTGTTGCCTATGTGACATACCATGTTGGTGGTCAAACGTGGTCAAAGAACGATTAGACTGGGTGTGATACATTAAACCAAGTTCACATATCTAAACGTGCAATTTTTTAGTCCACAGACTTAAGTGACACCACCACACAAATTTAGGGGACCGGCCATGTATTTCACTCTATAAACAGCCATAAATCCACAGAAATTTTGTTCACATCTCGTTCTAATCGTTTCAACCATGCCCCGTTCTCGCCGCGGCCCTCCCAAGGGCGCCAACTCGTCGGTCGCCGGCGCTGCGCCGCGCGGGGGACGCGTGAGTGGCCTCAATCAAGCGTACAACCGGATGGCGAAGGCCAGCCGGGTGCCCAACCCGCTGGCCACGCCCACGACTCACCAGGGGGAGCTCCCGGGAAGACGTGTCGAAGTGAAAGAACTGAAGTTCTAGTCAAAATATGATAAATAAAAATATTGTTTTTTAAGAACATTCATTTGAATGCTGTCGTGCTCTATAATTCTTAAGACTATTTTTAACTTTCCCTTCAACTAATCGGCAGCAGGAAGCTAGTATGGTTTGCTTTCTCTCATAGCCGTGGATCCTATTCTCTGCATTCTTCTGAGGTGCAGCAGCCCGCGGAGCAGCTGGGCCACCAGGTCGCCGGCGACGGGGTGGACCTGCCCGTGGCGGCCCAGGAGCAGGCGCCAGTCATGGGCCAGGAGGGCCATGTGCCGGCGGCGCCCGTGCACGCGCCGGAGTCCGATCCTCCGGCAGCGTGAGGGCGAGTGCAACTGACAAGATCGTTCTGCAAGCGAGGAGGGTGTAGTGGCACCGAAGCCACGCAACGCAAAACAAAGCATAATCGGCCATGCAAAGTAGTATGTAGTAGGAAAAAGGCAGTGAATCGGCTGGTAGTTTGTAGTAGGAGAAGGAGAATGAACAAGAAGTATCTTGAATCTGGAGACGTTAATGAGAAGTTATCCTATATGAATTTCTTCTTTCTACTGTTTGATTGAATTGCTGTTTGTTTTTCTTTTCTTTTTTGCGTTTTTGTGATATTTTCTTTGGGCTGGGCTAAACTGTTCGAGGAAGAGGGTGGGCTCCGGCCTTTCGATCGGTGCTCAAAGGTGGGTCTTTTGGCCTCTTCGTGCCTCTTGATCTTGATCTGTAGGAGTATATTTTGGCTGTGTTTAGTTTAGTGTAAAGTTTGAATTTTGATTGAAATTGAAGATGATTTGACTGTAGAGTTGCGTGTGTATGATATGTTAATGTAATAGAAAAAGACTGAAGTTTGGATCCAAACTCTGTATCTAAACACAGCCTCTGCTAGAACCGTCGTCCTCTTCGTGCCCTTGTGTGATTGCTAATAGATCTGTGTAGATTCCCTCACTCTCTCAAAAAAAAAAAACAGTGCAGATTCTGTCTCGGTCGCGCTCCTCTTCGCGTTCCAGGAATCCGCCGCTTCTCGGGAAGGCGGGCGCGGCGGCGCTTCCATGTTCCCGGCGGCGGAGCACGGAGCTAGGGCTCGGCCAGCGCCAGATCTAACGGCGTCTTCCTAGGGAAGAGCAAGAGCACCGGCAGATGCCTCGTGGTCAGCTATATCGGCCGTCTGCGGCGGCCTCGGGGCCCACCAGATCTGGCGGTGGGCGGCGACATCGAGCTGAACGACCTCCATCGGCGCCAAGCAGACCCTGCCGTATCGTCGGCGTCGAGCAGCTTCGCCAACGACCTCCACTTCTGCGACCTCGGCGGCGGCTGCTCGTTCATCCCCTGGTATATTTCTTTGCTCTTGGCAAGAACAAGAACACTCTTTGTTCTTGGCATGAACAAGATGATCGTGCCTGCTGCAATTGTATAAACAGAGAATTTGTTGGATCTGTGGCTGCAGCGTCATTGTTGGATCCGTGGCCAGCAGCAGCGGCGCCCGTCTGCTGGTGTAGGAGAGCTCTGTCCATCTGTCAAAGGAGCAGCAAGGAAGAATTGGAATGGAGTATTGCTTCTGGTTCATGCTATAGCAATTTTCTTTTATAGAATTGGTGCTAATGAGTTTGCTAAATTGGAGGTCACTGGATGTCTGGATTGGTTGATTTGAGGGTAATTGATGTTCTTGAAAGTGCAGTTTTTTTTAATGGTGCCAACTCTACAAATTTAATGTATAAACTTGTCTTCTTGGTTGGTTGATCCAGATGCGGTGAGTTGACAACAATGGGCTCTTGCATCTCAAGGAGGAGGTGACGACAGAGGTCAAATGTCAATGGAGGTAATGTTTCTTCAGCCAATTTCACAATGTTCAATCAATATAGTTTCAGGTTTTTCATAGCACAACCATTTGGACTGTATGCAAGGGAGTAGGAGTACATGGATTACTCCTACAAGGGAGTAAAACAGTGTTCCTGTAAGGGAGTATTAATACTGCAAGGGGGTAAAACAGTGTTACTGTAAGTGGCAATTCTGCATCTTACTGTAAGTAGCCTATTTAATCCCTTTCCTGGGATTCAACGTACTCGATTCATACTCCATTGAACATCATACATGACAGAATGACACCATGATTCATGTATCCATTCAATTTCAGAGACCATAAAAATGAGGCACTCAATGAAAAGACAACAGAATAGCCTACCAAACTTGCAATCCAAACTTTGTTTTCCAAAACAAACTTTAGAACATATGTTGTGCATGACAATAAACCAGAACAACACCAGAGTTACTCCTTTACATCAGTATTTGTACTTTCATGTAGTTTTCTCCCTTATATCAGCAGTATTTGCAACTTTTCTCCTATACATCAGTATTTGCGACTTTTCTACTCTCCATCACAATAGTGTCCTAAGCCATTGCTCTAACCAACTTGTTCTAGACAGTCCAACGCCTTCTCGTAGACTCTAGCATCACATGATAGCCAAGATGGTAACCTTCCTTCTCTTTCCAAAGCTTGCTTATTCATATGTGGGATTTTGTACCTATTTCCTCCATTATCTTTCATCACTTCTAGCATGCACAGCTGTAGAGTTAGGAACACTCTGTTTATTTTTGAAGCTTCATAACCATCAAATTCTTCTTGGACAGCATGAATTAGTTCTTGAATAGTTTTTGGACTTGAGCAATTAGTTAATGATTGAATGGAGCTAAAGAATCCTAAATCTAACACATTCATATCTGGTGAATTTGAGGGTTGTTTCAGCTGAATGTTTAGTCCTGTTGCAGCCACTGCTTGTAGGAAGTGTGGGTCATTTGGAGGGACATGTGTTCTAGCGTTGTCCTGTTGGATATAAATTGTATCCCCAATGTCCTCTTCTGGCCACAATGACTGAATAGCTGGAATTACTTTTTCAATCAAGAATTGCCTCATGACATCCCTGTTGACTATGATAGATTTTGTCTCTAAAGTCCCTATGGTTCTGTTGCGACTCTTTCTTATAGCTGGAACCTGAAACCAATTCATAAAGAGTTCAGATCAGAACATAGAGTAAGTCATTTGAAATGATGAACTCAAACTCACCTCTTTAACAAATGGCCACGTGCCAATCTTGCCAGAAAAAGTCACATTCCCTTCCTCGTCAAATCTGGGCCTGGCTATTGCAGTTAGGAACATAACTTTACCGATTCTATTCTTATTTTGAACAGTCCGCAAAGGATCTTCTTCTTCTGGCAGGAGATAGTAGGTCTTCTTCCTTTTAGTCATATCAACCACTTTTCATCAATATGGACTATGTTGTGCATGGTCATGAATCTAGGATCAATATCACCAAGCTCTAACATTGAAATGCAGAATTTCACCCTTTCTCTCTTATTTTCCTCCCTCAAGTATGGCTTCAACGTATTGGAGTGGCGTCTTATCTTACCCAGCTTGAATTTTTGGTGCACTGTTGCAATACTCACACCCAAAGAGTTTGCAAGTGACCTTAAATTAGATCTTCTATTCAGCGGAATTGTAGCGATTTTTGAGAGATCAATTTCCATCTTGTTGGGGCCACAGCATCTAGTTTTTCTGTTGTCAACATCAACCTTGAGCCCGAGTGCAACCTGTTCCCTTGCATGCTTCCAAATCCTTTGAATAACTTGAATACCTACATTGAAATATTCTGCAACCTTTTTTGTGGTGTCCTTCTCTAATCTGCCACCTTTGCTTTTAGCATGTAATGCTATGTAAACAGCATATCTTTCTTTGTCTGATAACCATCTCCTTATCTTTCTCTCTTGTGGTTGAACACCTACAAGGGCATGAATGAAACAGGACAAATATATTAAATCAAATTAACAAGATTCAAAATAATATGGATAAGCAGTTGTACTAGGACTAGGAGTACTAGAATTAATATAGGTAATCAAAACATGAATTACATATCAACATGTACTTAGAGTAGCAGAATGTCAAATCAACATGTACCACTGTTAACATGTTACTAGGAGTGGGAGAGTAGGAGTACTAGGATTCTGGAGTTGATGGACAATTAACATGGATAGACAGTTAACTTTTTTTTTTCTTTCACTCTTTATTTCAGTTCAAGAACTTCAGGCACAGGGAAATAAACAAATGGCAGCAGGAGTATGTGTACAACAGTACATGCATTCAAGTGTACAGGCACAGCAGAAGGAAACTCTACAACATGTATAGATCAGCTTGTATACCAACATAAACCATGTGGAGGCTTGTCAATGAGTAGGAGGCTTCCATCATCACAATTTGATAATGCAGTTTGTATCTTCCTTTTGTAAATGCAGTTTGTAACTTCTTTTTGAGACTGTAACATGTTGGGAGCAGAATTTGATAATGCAGTTTATAACATGTTGTAAATACAGTTGTTGAACTATTGGGAGCAGAATGAATGAATGAATCGATCTGACAGTGTATCTGTTTGGCAAATTGAGTCATGAGCTACTCCTGGTTATATCATTGAACCTACAAACTGAACAAGCATGAGTTCTCCAGATTTTAGAGGCAAGAGTACAACATCTACTCCATTTCAGAGGAAAGAGTACACATCTAGGAATTGCAGAATTTCAGGGGTTCTCCAACAATACCATGAATTTTTTTTTACAGTATCCAAAAGATTTTAGTCAAGCTTTCAGGGTTTTTACTCCATGATTTCTGGAAATTTCAGAGAATACTCCCTCATTTCTGAAGTGGAATACAATGATCAACATCCATGATTTCTGGAAATTTCAGAGACTACTCCCTCATTTCTGAAGTGGAATACAATGATCAACATGTACTCATAGTATTCTACGGAGTAAAAATTTCAGTATTCTACAGACATTTCATGAAGTGATGTACAGACATTTAGGAATAGTACTCTGAAAATTTCAGTATATTAACATGATGTTTGGTTGATGATTCTTAACATGGCGTTTGAATGGCATCATCAGTTAAGACATTTCAGAGTGAAGAATACAGTACAACATCTTCAGTACTCCATTTCAGACATTTCAGAATTTCAGAACTTACATAAAAATAAATGTGAACTGTGAATAATTTCAAACATTTCAGAACTTCAAAAATCTGAAATACTCCAACATCCTTAGCGAGATGAATCACCTTCACCCGAAGCAATGTTGCCTGCATTCTGAGCTATTACCTCGTCAGCTACAGCACCTCCTCCACCTTCATCCCCAGCAATGTTGACTCCAGCCTCGTCAGCTATGGCTTCGCCTCCTCGAAGTTCGTCACCGTCTTCAGGAGGAGGAGCGTTGAGGTCAAAGAGAGGAATCGCCGCCATGGAGCTTAACGTGATGACGCACACGCGAAGCAGAAACTTGTGGAAAGGGAGCTCTGAAACTTGGGGGAGGTCGCTGCCGGACTTGTCGGGCTCAAACTAGTCGACGTGGGCGTGCGTTGAGAAGCGAAGCACGCCGGAGTTTGGCTGAAGCAGGTGTTCTGTGAGGCGAGGCGTCCCGTGCCGTGCCGCGTCGCCGGAGTGCGCACCGAGGAGGCTGCGAGGCGAGGCGTTCTGCGCCGCGTCGCTGGAGTGCGCGTCGAGGAGTGTGCAGTGCCGGCCATCGGAGTGCGTGCCGGGGAGCTTGGTGCCGAGGAGGTGCGTGGCCGCCGCCGCCGCCGGCGACGCGGCCCCTGCGTGTCTGCGAGCTACTACTACCTCCGAGGCTCCGAGCAATGGAGGGGAGAAGAAAGGGACATCGGGGGCATAAAGGGGAATTCATCGCTTCCTTAATTTGAAATTCAAATCCCAGGACGTCTTATAACTTGTAACAGAGGGAGTAGCTCTTTAGGCCGAGTTTACTTCAAAAATTTTTCTTCAAACTTTCAACTTTTCCATCACATCAAAACTTTCCCCCACACATAAATTTTTAACTTTTCTGTCACATCGTTACAATTTCAACCAAACTTTTAATTTTGGTGTAAACTAAACACACCCTTAGTGTTAGTATTTATTTTGGCAAGGTTGGTTGCATCGATTTGGCTGAGGTGAGACTGGTGACAGTGAGAATCTGTGTCCTTATGTTATGCTCTAAAGATTAACTCCTATATTGCTTCTGGATGTCATACTTGGAAACCATGGCAGTTTTTCATTTTCTTGCCTCATTAATGATGCTTCAATCTATCCCATTCAGATGTTATTGTTTTGAAAGGTGTTTGATTGTATTCCTCACCAAGGGAAACCATAGCTGATTGCAGAGTTGATGCTGCTTGTTGTCAACACCCTGCTGCTGGGCCAGACCGCCCATTGGATATTGGTAACCTGCCAGAATGTTGTTTTTCGATGCATTTATCACATAATTTTCATACTCGTCTGAATTTTCAGGTGTCCAGTCATTAATTTCTGTATGCCCTGTGTTGAGATAACTGCTCCCATCTACTCCCTCCGTCCTAAAATGTAGCTATTTCTAGCACAGTGTCTTGTCCCAAAATAAAGCTATTTCTTCACCTACCTCCTCCTCTCAACCAATCACAACAATTCTTTTTCACCTACTTTCTCTTTTCAACCAATCATACACTTCCTCCAATTATTCTCACCTACTTTTTTAATACCCATGCTAACTTCAAAAATGGCTTCATTTTAGAACGGAGGAAGTAGATTTTAATCTGTTCAGTTGTATATTCGTGTATCCAAAGCTCTCTCATACTACTATTCATGGATGAAAATTCAATGATATTGATTTGATAGCAGTTCTCTGTAATTGGTTCAACAGAGCAGATCGTTTGAATTGTTCTGAACTGCGTCCCATCAAATCAGTACATACAATTGCCAACACTATCATCTACTAGGTTCGCAGTGATGATTTACTCGAGTTCCTTTCTATCCCCCGTTGTGTGAATCTTGATTGATCTTGGTTCTGATTTCACTGAATTGCGCAATGTTTGATTGCAGGCTGGGACAAGGCACACCTAAGAACCACACCTCCGCACAAAACTTGTATTTGCAGGCGCATGCGTCATCCTCGGCTATGATTCGTCTACCGCCGATGCAACCGGAGCAGCGACGACTAGTGTTTTTAATTGTACAATCAATATGGATATGTGCCTGAGTCTTTGTAACATGTAGTATGATTTTTTTACTCGACAAAAATATGGCTGTAATTTGTGTTGGCTATATGGATTTGTTGGTAAATAGGATACTCTATAGTCAGGGAGTAATTTATTTTTAGGGTTAATTGGATCCATGCCACTGTAAATATGACAAATTAAAAATATACTACTACTATTCACGTTATCTGCTGAGTGCCACTACAAATTTCTAAAATTGGAACCATGCCACTCCATCATTCTTTCCGTCCTCCCCGTCAATCTTTCCGTCATCCCCATCATCTCTCCGGCATGTTCACCATGTGGGTCTCCATCTTGCCGGCGGCCATGAGCTCAAGGAGGGAGTCGAGGAAGTCGCTGCCGCGGCTGTACGGGTGCATGTGTAGGCGGTGACGAACATGGGGTCGCGGCCAGCGGCGAACGGCGGCGGCGACGGCGAGGGGACGCTCTCCCATGGCCACCGCTCCGCCCGGTGTGTTACGTCGTCGCCAAGGCGGCCGTGGTGTTTGGCGCGGCGCCCGACGGGGCCGGGCTGGGGCTGCAGGGCAAGGGCCAGCTCGTCGCCGTGGAGGCCATGTTCCTCATGTCGCTCGCGCTCACCGCCGCGCACATCGCCATGGCCTACCGCGCCAGCTGCCGCGAGTGACGCCGCCTGCTCGTCTACAGAATCAACGTCGAAGCTGTGAGTGATTGATTCCCTTCTTTGCTTGTATCGTATCAAAACAAAGGATTTTGCCTAGTGGTAGCTTGTAGTGTGGATTGGAAACATATTAAACCCAAAATATGCAAGCTTTCTAGATTCCAATCCGTGTTTTCGAGAGATTTTGGAGAACAACTTAGGCATACGCTTGCCGACCTTTTACTGGACATCACAATGGCCGGAAGAACCCGACGTCCCCACATGCGAGGAAAGCAATGGTAGAGCGGTGGCCGGTGGACGAGGGCAGGAGGAGGCACTGCCGCTTCTTGCCGCCGCCGGCTGCGGCGCAGGGCGTGGAGAAGGCGACCGCGGAGTCCGCGCGCTCGATGCGGAGCTCGGCGACGAGGTGCAGGTTGCGGCTGTACCCGTGGTCGGCGAGGTGGGCGAGCACGGCGTCGTCAGCGGGCGTCATCCGGGGCGGTGGAGAGGAGGAGAACGGGGAGAGGATGGGGAAGACGGAAAGATTGATGGGAGGATGGAAAAAGTGACGGGAGTGGGATAGGTCCAATTTTAAAATTTTACAGTGGCATATAGTAAATAACGTGAATAGTAGTGGCATATTTTTGATTTGCCGTATTTGCAGTGGCATGGATCCAATTAACCCTTATTTTTAATGAGAAGGTTCGAGCAATTTGTGGCCAAAGCAATATGTTCATATGTTTTTACTCTAACAATCTGGAAGTAATTTATTTAGTTAGAGAATACCAGAGTCAAATGTTGTTGGTATGGTTAGATCAAAAGCTATATTTACTGACATAAGCAGGGGAAAATTTGATGAAGGGTAATTTTTAGTTACTGAGAAAAGGCCAAGAAGTTATATGGCTAGACTAAAGGTAATCTATTTACGAAGAGAAGGCCCGGGTAAATTTTTTGGGGAGTAATTTATTTATTGACATGAGTGCTACGGATTTTTGTGGGAAGTAAATTCTTTACTGGGTGGACACCAGAGGGATTCTTTTGCTAAAAAAAATATATTTGTCAGTAATTGATTTACTGATAGAGGCTTGGTGTGACTAAAAGCCAATAATTTATTTACTAAAAGAAGTTTAGGTGCATAGGTAATTTATTAGTAATCTTTTTACTCGTGGTTTCCAAGGGAAGGAAAACAACAGGAGTGTGGAAAGGGAAAAAAAGAAAAAAAAGGAAAAAAACGAAAAAAAAAAAGGAATGGAGGGAGTATGGACTGCGGGCGGAAAAAGAAAAACAGGGGAGAAACGACTGCGGGTGGAAAAATCTCATGAAAAATTCGAAACAATGAGCATTTGAGATTAGAAAAAAAAATCCTATATAGGATTTTTCGAGGATTTCCAACATTAGGTTGGACCTTATGGCCTTATGGGAACCTTTTATCGTCTCCATCTCTTTCCAAAAAAAATCGTATACTTTTCTTATGAAACATCAAAATAAATAAATAATCAGTGGTTCGCAAAGGATCCTTTGAACGTAGTACGGGGCTTATGTTTTCCATCATGCAATTTGATGACAAAATCAAAATGTTCGTGCCCTTGAGATTTGATTCGTAAGCACACGCGGGAAAACTAATAAAATCTTTCAGCATCGAATTGCACGACAAAGATAGGATCGAACAAATACCCTGCAATATCGTTCATTGAATTGTTCTTGGCGATCAATTAAGCATCGAAATGCAAGGGAAAGACAGAATTCGAATTCGAATTCAACACTGAAGTATTTTAGTACAGGTTTACAACTGATCACCGCCCACACTGACGCTGCTACTCTTCTTCCTCCTCTTCACAATCCCCTGCTCCTTCACCGCCACGCCCTTCCTCTTCGCGTCTTCCGCCTCGCCGTTGCCGCCGTCGTCGCCGCCGCCGGTGCCGACCGCGGAGTACAGCGGCAGCGCGACCGACTCGGGCGCCTTCACGTGCAGCGCCCGCACGTTCCTCCACTTCCTCGGCACGCACGCCGCAGCCGCCTCCACGGCGGCCACCACGTTCTCCACCGCCTCCTCCCGCGCCATCGCCGCGTGGCCCACCCGCACGGCGCGGCACGTGCCGCCCTCCACCCGCAGCTCCACGCGCCGCGCCGCCTCCCTCGCGGACTCCGCCCACGCCTGGTCGGCGAGGTCGACGGGCACGACCCGGGCGGCCTTGGCCGCCGCCTTGCCCTTGCCGCCCGGGCGGACCCTGAGGCGGCGGTCGACGAGCACCAGGCCGCGGCGCGCGGCGGGCGGGAGCGACCCGAGCGCGGGCGAGGGGAGCGGGTCGATGTCGTCGGGCAGGTCCGCCGGGAGGCGGTCGGAGACGAGGGAGATGGACGGGAACGGCGAGCGCGGGAGGCGGAGGGTGTGCTCGAAGCGGCGGGCGGGGGCGCGCTTGAGGGTGACGAGGAGGTAGATGGGCTCCGGCGCCGGGGTGGGGTGGTGCTGGAGCCACCGGAGGAGCGCCGCCACCGCGCGGGCCACGTCCTCGCGGCGTACGCGGCTGGCCGGGGCGGACTCCATCGATGGCGGCGGCGGCGGCGGCGGGAGTTTGGGAATTGGGAGTGGTCGACTCGCGGGGGTTTAGGGTTTGTATCCACTACGCTTGTTGGACCCGAAGTGGGTTTGGTCCTGGTTGAACCGGACCAGGAAGCCGGTTGGGCGGCTCGGATGTGAGCCACGGCTGGAGTGATCGGCTCGGCTCGGCTCAGCCGGTGCTGAGGGACCATGGTCCATGGAGCAAACACAACACATCATTGACACACAACTATACCAACGTTCTATCTCCTTTGATGTCATGACATCAAATAAACAAACCAAACCATATCTTGGCCAGTATGTCATCAATCTGGTCACGCCATAAATCTCAAGGGGTTCAAGTCTTCAAGACATGGCTAGATAGATATATATCAAACCTTTCTACGGAGTATTTGTATGGTCATAAGTGTCATGATGGTCCAAAAGAGGCAAAGATGATGTTACTATGATCAATGAGGTCTACTCTAATTTGTTTGTTCCCCGGAGGATGGTTACATGCCTTTGTTGAGACAATTATTCCATTTGAAAACTTCACAATAAACTCACTTGGTAATTACTCCCTTTAATTTGAAGGAACCCTATAGTTTTCACTTCAACATCATATTACACTTGCTAGTAATAAAATGTGGTACCGGTAACTATCGAGAACCACAAACTAATTATAGGTGCATACTTTCTATTTGCGCATCTCCCTGTCCTCAAAACAATGAGGTCCACATATACTCAGACACGCTAATCAAACCACCCGAACCACCTTTTATCACTGTGTATTCACAACCTATAAAAACACACTTCACGGTCGGACAGTTTTCCTTAACCAATCATCATTCCCTCATCCCATTAAATTTGCTCAAATAATTAAATATGACAGGCATGGGTTCTTCCATCGGCCGTGCCACCATTTTCTACTGCGTTGCTCTATCCATAATTGCCGGCGCCGCAGCGACACAGGTGCCCCCCACCGAAGCAGAGTCCGTAGAAGGTAGTAGCACATGCCTCTCCTGCAAAAATTACTGATCAGCTAACTAATGCGTTCATTTTTTTTGGTACACGTACTGATCACGGCACGCGCTTGTGGCTGCACGTATGCATATCCCAGCGGCAGAGCTTGCGTCCTCTGCCTTCAAGGCCGACACGTTGCCCTCAGCCTCCCGCAAGCTGATGGCCGTTAGTGACGTGCCGCTAGGTAATGGCACCTTGTTGTGTTGTTGTACGTACATGTGATTATAGCTTGGCGGTATATCGTCTGACATGCGCGAGTGTGGCGTGGTGTGTGGTTGGCAGCGCCGGTGTGCCCGGTGCGGTTCGACAAGATGAAGGGGCCCGCCATCGAGCTGGGAAAGAAGTGCAAGACGACAGGGGTGAAGGTGTGCTGTGAGGCGTTCAAGACATTCGCATGCCCGCACAACAAGCTGATCAATGACGTCAACAACGGATGCGCGGACGAAATGTTCTACACCATCCACACCTACGGCCAATTGCTGCCGGGAACCATCTTCAAGAAATGCCTCGAGGGACCGCATGGGATGAAGTGTTGAATTCGATCGTGCTGATTCGACTTGCTCGATCGATATCGCTCCGTTGTTGCTAGCCTCCGGCCTGATCTATACTACCTATAACGATGAATGTCCCTTTCGTCATCTTGCAATGTAACTAAACTTACTTTTATTACTTCGAAATGCAATGAACCACAAAAGGTTTATTACAATTTTCTCCTAGGATATTGGTTGAACATAAAATGTTAACCATAAACACAACATTTAAAAGTGTGATGAAGAGGGCGAGCGTTTAAAAGTTGCATGTCGTAATCTTGAGGCAATGGTTATACAACTGTTTACCAATTTTGGATGGAGATTCACAAACAGAATTCAATAATTGTGTACTCCTTATCTTGGGTTGGTAGGTGTCTTCTTTTTCATGTGAGAAACTTTTTGTTTTGTGTGTTACTCTGTAATAATTGGCTGTAACTCGTTGAGCAAAGGCCGGGATATTCTATTCCATTATCTAAAAAAAACCATAAACCCAACATATCAATGCAATCTCTGTATATCTAATTGTTATAAGGGATCGTGACGCTTTGAGAGTTGTACAACAACCCAAACACTTTTTTCCCTTCCTTTCCCTTCCTCATCTTGCATGTCGCCGTTTTCATGCGTTCGTGAATGCTCCTTCGCCTCCTATGGTGGCAGTGCCAACCTCATCTCGACTAGCACCCTCAGCTAACCTCCTCCATTTCCCTTCTCCCCTCTCTTCCCCAAGGCGGTGGCATCGAGTGCCCCCACCATGCCATCTTCGTTGAATGAGGATGCAACCATCACATAGAATAAGGAGCACCTTCTCCTCGTGCTCAACACAGTTGTGCATGACGTCTTTTACTTGGGTGCATCACCTCATCTATGGATGTATTGTACAGAAACGTTATCATGCCGACACTGCCATAAGATCGACAAACACCTTAATAACTCAATGAAAGTACTCAATTAATATAAACATGCATGTACGGCAAATAGACAAACACATAAATAGATATATGTCATATTTTGGCAAGAAAACCGACCATCTATCTTCGGCTCTTGGCTATATGTCATAGTTTTGGGCATGGCATAAGTTAAATTTAAAGGGTTCATCAACACATAGCTAGATGTACCTCTACAGAGTATTTGTAATTTTGCATGTCAACGGGCCATGTGTTTCAAATATTCAAAGAAAAATGCTGTGTGCTGGAAATTGTTTCTTCTCCGAAGGATGTGTGTTTGCTTTTGTTGAGAACAGTATAAATAATATATGAACAATGGTTTAAATGGTTGCTATCGGTGTAATCACTCCGCTTCATATTTCGATGATATACAAACTATTCATTGTAATCTGTAGTGGGGATTGGTACAACTAATGGTTTTATTCTAAATAGTTTATGGAATTCACACACACGTTCTCTCTAATTAAAAAATCACAGGGGGGCATCTTCTCCTAGATGTTACTCCCTCCATCTCACTTAACCAATTTTTTCAATGTTTTATAATAATATAAGGCGCATATGCATATATGTAATGAAATAGCATATTTCCCTCCGCTTAATTTTTTTTAACATTCTCCACCCTGACCAGTATCTGTAATTTCATTGGTTACATGTACTTTATTTGTTAAGATGATACAAAGGAGAAGGTGAGAATGTACTATTTCTTGATTTTTGCATTAGTAGTAGTTGCGTCTTATATTTTTTATATGGAGGGATTAATTAAAGTTGTACTTGTAGCAGCCAATTCTTTTTCTTCCGTTTGAAAACTTTACTACACATGCAGGCTCAGTAGTACTTATTTTTAGAGAGGGAAATCTGTGTGGTCTGTAGTATGTACTTCATAATGCGAGTATGCATGCATGATTTGCATTAGAAATCATTGAGAATTAATCTCGCACACTAATTATAGGTCCAGCTAAGTTGGCCCTGGTATATATATTGGCCGCAAATTAAATCACCACAACTCCTGCCCTCAAAATAATGAGGTCCACAAACAGACGCTAAACCACCTCAACCACAATTTCTCATGGTCAGTTTCACTAATCAACCGATCATTCCCCCTACTCTCGTATATATGCTCTCGTAAAGGCACGAACACACATCTCTAGTCCTGCAGCCTGCTGGGAATCGCAAGCTAGGATGGGTTCTTCCACCATCCTTTTCTACTGCGTCGCTCTGTCCGTGGTCGCCGCCGCCGCCGTCGTGTCGTCCGCCGCCGAGGAGGCCGAGGGGCCCCAAGACGAAGCAGGCCGCTTCCTATCAGGTACTATAGCACATATGAGTCCTGAAACGTTAATTTCCTAGCTTTTGCAACGTAAAAAATGGCTAGCTAGCTAACTCCAATTATATTTTTGCCATCGTCTTTTGGTATACGATCCTCTTAGCGGCCACCCTGGCGTCCTCCGATTCCGACGCAAAGACGTCGCGCAGGGCGCTGACCAGCCAAGAGGAGATAATCGCAAGTAATAACACGCACGCATAAGTGTTTGTTGTATACGTACTGTGTGCCGGCGATGATATGATCGTCGTACGTCGTCTCGATCTGACACGCACGCACGCACGGTGCTGCGGCGTGGCGTACGTTTGTACGTGTGCAGAGCCGTGCCCGGTGGAGTTCGAGCAGGTGAAGGGGTTCGGAGAACTTGGGGCCAAGTGCAACGACAAGCAGACGATGAAGGAGTGCTGCGAGCTGTTCAAGAAGATCGCGTGCCCCTACAACCATCTGCTCAACGACATCACCAACGTCTGCGCGAACGAATTCTTCTACCTCATCCACACCAAGGGCAAGCTGCAGCCCGGAACCATCTTGGAGAACTGCAACGAGGGCCCTATGGGGATCAACTGCTGAACGCCTCGAAGTACCGTACGTTGATCAATATATTCACCATTTCTTAATTTGATGACAAATTTTACTATAGTACACCAAAAGTTTGTGAAATTTACTTGTGGATATCGAAAAAAAAGTGTAATGGTTAGAGGACACCAAAAAGCTAGTAATTTGCCGGAGAATAGTTTGGCACAATTGGAGAGACAAATTCTTCAAAATACGAATTAAAACAAGCTTATGAAACTTTCTCTTCTCACACACATCACGCTGGTTGGAGTCTGTGAAATACGAATTAAAATTTATCCTGCGCACAAGACCCCAGCAAAGTGATAGAATGATGTAATCTTCAGCATAGTGATATAGAATGATGTAATCTTCAGCATAGAGATAAAATGATGTAATCTTCTACATGTAATAAGGATCAATGGATCACTGGTGGTACATTGGTGCATTTGCCATGTAGTTTATAGGATTTTTTTCTCTCTAAATGATTCGGAAATCAGAACACACACATCATCATTCATCAGTTGAGCCTCTTGATGGACACGATGCGACCGAGCTCCTCGCGCACCGACACGAGCAGCACGAACGCCTCCGAGCCCTGCACGTCCACCATGTGCTGCACCGTGCCGGTCACCGGGTCGGCGTAGCAGCCGCAGCCGACCACCCGCAGCACGCCGCCGCCGTCGGGCGCGCCGACGACCTCCGCCACCTCCTTCTCCTTCCCCTCCGTCACCGTGAGCAGCAGCGGCGCCGCGGGGGAGCCGCGGCGCTCGCCGTACTCCACGGCCCGCACCACCTTCCCGCCGTGGAGCGCCACCTCCGTCTCGTCCACCACCGGGAACAGCCTCCCCCCGATCTCCACGCGCTCGCGCGGGTCCTCGTCCTCGTCCTCCTTCTCCTCCTCCTTCCCGGCGGCGGCGACGACGCGGTCGTCGTCCTCGCCGCGCGACACCACCAGGTGCACCTTCCCCTCGTGCTCGACGACGCCGCGCGAGACGCCGCCCAGCGCGACGCGCCACCTCGTCAGCTGCGGTACGTACAGGGACGACGCCATCTTGACGCTACGCGGGCCTCCGGCTGCGGCTGCGGCGCCGCCGTCCCCGCCACACAAGAAGATCAGGAAGCTAGCTACGGCGGCGCACAGGATCAGCAAGAGCGATGGGGAATGCATGAGCTCCTCGCTAGAGCCCTCCTCCTCGATATATAAAGGAGCGGGATCTGGATCGGAGTTGCTCGATCGTGTGTGAAACGGGACCAGAGGGGGGTTAGTTCATTGTTGTAAGCGAGCGTAAGCCGGTAAAGGCAAAAAGTTAAGCCGGCTGGGAAGCATGGGGTGGCATGAAACGGTCGAGTACTAGTAGATAACACACATACCATCGGTGATCGCGAGCCAGTTCACATCCAATTAATGTTTTTTTTGCTTCCTTTTGTCACTCATAAATGTGTAGTACTAATGCATTCTTGCCAAATTATGTTTGTAGCCAAAGTCCTCAACTTTTGCTTGTCATTCCTACTGCTCTCTTTAATTAGTTTATTTAGAAATACTTTAGAAAAGACTACTGTGCGAGCGAGCGCGCGTGAATGTCCAATTCCTATCCGGATTAAAGTCCCCGCGTGAATGTCCAATTTCGATGTAGTACAAACTATATATATGATATTTATAGGTATCATAATCAGACTTCGCTCTAACTTTCAGTGCAAAAACTTGTAGACTTTTCTTGAGATGAGATTTTAAACCACGCCCATGAGCTTGTCTCATCCCGATTCGTTTTTAACTTTCAATGTTGAAGTTTTGTAGTTTATAGAAACTTTATTTACATAGAAACATGTGCTGCACAGAACATGCTCGCACCATGCGAATTTTCACGCATTGGACATACCTAACTAATACGTGTTCATGTTAGAAAGTTCAGCCGCGAGGGAAGGATCGGAGTGATGTTAATTATGCAAAAAAGTTCATTTACTTCCCTAAACTATTTCATTGGATCAGTTAAGCACCCTATACTTATTTTTATTAGTTTACACTGAAAACTACTAAAAATATTCAGCTTTACTTTTTAATATCATTTATATATTTTTTCCTCTTTATATGAGTTGTAATTTAAGCTAGGAATTTGAGCCATAGATGACACTATTGTCAAAGTTCCGAAATATTTTTAAAAAATTTCACAACTATTGACTTGAAATTTAAAACCTAGATATTTAAATCAATCTCGGTGCTTCCACCCTATGTAAACAATGTAGAAAACATCTAAGAAATGTTGAGAGCTGAGTTATAATACATCTATCAATACTGCAAAATTTCAATGTAAAATATGACATATATAGACAAAGAAAAATACCTTTACGAGGTAAGGTGAACTATTTTAAATAGTTTGGGATGTAAAAATGAGCCGATAACTTGTTTAGGGAATTATAAATGCTCTAGCGAAATAGTTCGGGAGAGTAAAATAATGATTTTACTTTTCCAATTATACATATGAACCAGGTGCGGATCTCTGGATTTTTCATATTTTGGTCCTTTTGAAAAACTTATTTCGTAAATAGACCCCTGAAAAAACTTATCCCAGAAATGGTCCTTTTTGGGGCGCCAGAGTACGGGACAGCGCCAGCCTCTCTGGCGCCGTCCTCCTGCCACCGTGGCACACGCGAACCGACGTGGCAGGAGGTGCTGGCGCCGCCCGAGGAAGGAGGGCGCCAGCACGGCTGGCGTCCGCCCCCCCCCCCCCAACCCCTCACCTCCATTCCTGTTTCTCTGTATAGAGTTACAACGGTGTCATTTTTGTTTTATTTTTTCGGATGTTTTTTCACACTTAGGATCACGATACAACCAAATTTAAACTCGAACTACCACTTAGCTAAGTCTGAAAATAGCTAGCATACCACTTAGTCTACTTTGCACCTTCACTAAAATTAGACCATAACTCCTTTAGTAAAACCCTTTGATCAGCATGTTATAAATAATGCACTCTATCACTATATGAAATTACTTAATCTAATTCAAAATATAACCACATGAAATAATAGCCATAAGTTAAACAGTACAGAGAGATGCATTTTTTTGATTTTTATTTCATTTTTTTGATATTTTTTCACACTTAGGAGAACATAGGAACCAACCATATATAAAAAATAAACTCAAACGGACAAAATATGTTACTTGTAGAATTTTCCAAAACTCTATCGAAACGGACAAAATATGTCATTTATTAAAATAGGCGTAACTTTCTCATACGGACTCGGAATCAGGCAAATAATATATCCACGGACATCTACAGAAAATGTTACATCCGATTCTCCCCTGCTTTGCTGGGTTCGGCGATATTAAAACCTCTAAATTCCGCTTGCAAGATTGTATTTTCGAGGAGAGAAGTTTCTCGGTAGAGCTTTGGAAAATTCCACATGCCACATATTTTGTCCGTTTGAGTTTATTTTTTATATGGTTGGTTCTTGTGATTTCCTAAGTGTGAAAAAATATCAAAAAAATAAAATAAAAATAAAAAAGTTACACATCTCTCCTCTGCACTAGTTCGGAGAGAGAGGAGAGGAGAGGAAAAATTCTACAGGTCACATATTACGTCCATTTGAGTTCATTTTTTCTATGGTGGGTTCTTATGTGTCCCTAAGCGTGAAAAAAATATCAAAAAAATAAAAGAAAAATAAAAAAATTCGGGGGGGGGCGCCAGCCACTCTGGCGTGCTCCCCCTAGTCACCTCAGCATCGCCCCGCCACGTCAGCAAGGGGACGGCGCCAGAGAGGCTGGCGCCGTCCTGTTGGATGACGGCGCCAGCCACTCTAGCGCCCCAAAAAGAACCATTTCTGAGATAAGTTTTTCCAAGAGTCTATTTGCGAAATAAGTTTTTCAAAAGGACCAAAATGTGAAAAATTCACGTGCGGATCTAGCCCACGTGCCAACTTGGCCACGTCCCGTGGACTAGGGCGAAAAAAGCCCACAGAGATATATCTTCAGCCGTTCAGCGTATGTAGTTTGAAGTGAGCCCAGTATGTGTTGGGTTGCCGGGGCTTGATCATGGATAACTCATCGCCCCTGCTTGATACATGCGGTGTGCAGCGACGCAAGTAAAAAGAGGAGGAATAAGTTCACTTCGTGACCCTCAACTGTGATCGAAATCTAATCCATGACCCTAAACCACAAAACCGGATATCTCGACCCCCAAACTCCTAAAACCGGTGCAATTTGACTCCCTAGGTGGTTTTGAAGGGCAGTTTTGCTGACATGGCGTCACGTGGCGCCTACATGGTGATATTGACCGAGTCTTCGTTCCACGTGGCGTTGACGTGGCACTTAGGTGGCATTAGAATTAAAAAATATGTGTGGGACCCATTAGTCATTCACACATAAAGAAATATGGGCCACTGACATGTGGGGCCCACATGTCAATCCTCTTCATTCTTCCTCCTCCCTCTCTCCCTTCTCTCTCTTTCTCTCCCTTTTTCCCCTTCAGCCGGCGGCAGGCGGCGAGAACGAGCGGCGACGACAGGATGGGCGAGGGCAGGAACGGCGAGCCGTGCAGCCGCCCCCGCCGCTGCCATACTCCTCCTTCCGAGGCGTCGCAGCCGCCGCCACCCTGACACCTCTCCCCGCCGTCGCAGCTTTCCCATGCTCGTTTGTAGTTTCAACTGCCTGAGAAGAGCGCCATTTATATTTTTTCCACGAATATCTACATGTATGTTCACATAAGAAGACAATCTACAAGAAACAAATAACAGATATGGTGTACCGGCTTAAATAGACTTTCTACCTGGTCATATAAATACTGGATCTGCTGAGCTTGTTGTAGAACATGTGTTGACAGTTGACATGAGATGATTAAGTGCTGACATCTCTATTATCTTTGTCTCTGTTTCTTGGACAGCATCAAGAAGATTTGTCAACTCCACCTAAGATACGAGTGCCGGCGGCTGGGGCAGCACGTGGAGCTCGTCGGCGGCCTGCTGCGGGAGCTCGAGCTCGCCGAGCTGATGCGGCGGGAGGCCACCAGGCGGCCCCTCGAGCGGCTCCAAGGCGCGCTGCGGCCGTGCTGCCGGCGCTCGCGGCGCCCATCCACTGACGACGCGTGCTCGTTCTCGCTGCCCGCCGCCCGCCGTTGGGGAAGAAGGGGAGAGAAAGGGAGAGAAGGGAGAGAGGGAGGAGGAAGAAGGAAGAGGACCCCACATGTCAGTGGGTCCACATTACTTTTTTGAATGATAAATGTGTCCCACACATATTTTTAAATTCTAATGTCACTTAAGTGCCACGTCAACACCACATGGAATGAAGATTCGGTCAATATCGCCACGTAGGCGCCACGTCAACAAAACCATTCTCCAAAACAGTCGAGGGAGTCAAATTACACCAGTTTTAGGAGTTTGGGGGTCGAAATATCCGGTTTTGTAGTTTAGGGTCATGGATTAAATTTCGATCACAGTTGAGGGGCATGAAGTGAA